CCTTTGACCCTGCATGAAAAGTGATACGCTCTTCTTCCCCTCCCCCAAGGTGTCATCAGATCCCCAGCAGCTACCCTGGCGTTCCAAGATGCGTAGGCCCGCAGAAGAAGGATGAACGGGCGGCAAGCCACTCTGCGGGACGACAGAATGAGTGAATATGATTAGGACAGATGTGCGGAGTCTCGTCCGACAATCCCTGCTCCTCGAGTGCTGTCGGTTTTCTATCAAAACATCTGGTGTGTCACAGCTCAAGCCGTTCCCGAAGGCAAGCAGCCTTTATCTATGTCCATCGCCAGCCATTGACGGAAGGTGCCCCTTTGTCTTCGGATGCAGAACTGGTGATCGCAATCTTATACCCAGCCCCGGCCGATTCTTGCTGGGGATCTCAAGTTCTGGCAGCAAAGGCAATCTGTGGCGGTAGTCGGAAGCTTGCGCAGAACATACGCTTAGCCGGTGCTACATCCCTGACGTTGTGAATTGATACCTCGCCTTCATGCTGTGCATCTCCATGCTTCATCGTCATGCCCAATTGCTCGGATATGCGCTCACATATGTCGATCAACGGGACCTCGTCATCGCTTTTCAGGGCAAAGCAGTGTACGTGTACCATCGGAAGTTCTGCAGCCGTATTTGGAGAAAATAGAACTTCTTGCCCGGCGTATAAACCTTTGTAATACGGCAGGAATTCAATCGCGGTGGCTGGGAGATTCATCACAAAGTGTGATATTGTTGGAGGAATAGGTATCCTTCTTGGCTCCGGCTTTTGGGCTGGTGGATTGCTTCTTGATACTCTCTTGGGTGGGACGACTGCAAATTCACCATTTTGTGATGCTGCGAGGACTAAGTCTGCTGCACTTCTGATGAAAGTGCGACCGTCTTCGTTGAACGGACGTACGAATTGCGAGACCTGTTATGCGATGAGCAGTACTCCAGAGACGTCTACAGCAGAAACTTACCTTGTTACGGTTTATAGCCTCCTTCAAATAGTGGGTGCTCGCCGGGTTGTAGTCATTTGCCCATACGAAAACCTCTTTCTTTCCAGCCGGCACCGCGAACGGCCCAATTCCCGCCATCACATCGCAGACTACCTCTCCTGGCTTGAAAAGTCCAATGAGCCGCCTGTGCTCGGTTTCCAGCTTGCTGTTCCAGTAGACCTTCGAATAGTCGAACTTGAAGACACAATCTCCTTCCCGGATTTCGACATTCATATCATCAGGACCAGCAAGGACTTCGTAGGCAAAGGTTCTAAACTCTGATTCTGTGCCTACATTGTCCGTCTTGTTTATAACTGTTTTGATATGCTGATTCTTGTCCACTAAGACTTCTGCAATGAGCTTCTTGTAGGGCAAATGGTGGTCTCGTAGGTTCAGATGGGCTACGTGACCGGCCGTGTTGAAGCCTGATGGTATATCGTCTTTCATCTCTTCCGGCATCAGTGATGATAGTACGTCATGATAACTCCAATAGTCGTAATCAATCTTCAGCTCGTAGGGAATGATTCCCAACTCTTCCTCTTTCACGGCATCCTGGATAACGGGTCCCCACGTCTCAGGCGATTTGACTGATATGCTCGGCTTTAGCAGTAGACATTTCCGCCCCTTCGCTGCAAGGCTCTCATCGGGATCAGGCGCTATTGCTGATATCCTCTCATAAGGAAGGATGTCTTTACTCTTTTCGAGTACTTTTCGGTATTTAGAGATATTTTTGTTGTCTTTGACTGATGCTGCTGCAAGGTTGAGTTTCTTCGTGAAGAGCGCCTTGTTTAATGTGGTCGATGTCCGCTGGACTGGAGGTCGTAAGAAACTCATTTCTGCTGATATTTCATCTTGTGACCTGGAACGATTATTGTCCATCATGGGCAGGCCGAAGATAAGGTTGGCGGAGAGAGCAAGGGTCGTGCTGCTCGTCTGTGCTGTGACAAGAAACTGAGCGAGATGAGCAAGGCTGAAGCCAAATTTTCCAGGGGACTGACCAATCGCGGCTGTGGCGCAAGCCTTCAGTGCCCACAAGGCTGAACCACTAACACCAGAGTCATTGATGTCACTGGCGTTTTCGACTGTAGCTGTCTCATTTTACAGACAATTATATCGTTTGAACTATTTACGTTGTAAATTAAACTAACACAGAGTATTATTCTATTACTGGATTTCAGAAGCAGCATCATAACACCATGTCGAAGAAACGAACTTTGGATTCATTTTTCAGCCCACCAACCAAGCAGAGAAAGTTAGACGAGACAAGTGAACCGGTAGGCCGACACTCATGACAAGGCATGAAATTGAAATGTTGATGAGATTATAGACAAATTCTTCTCATCATGCTACGTATCCATTTCCTATTTTGGAATTTCCCGATCACATCTCCAAAGAGATGGCCTCGTTACCTGCACGGCCAGCCCGAGCGATCGATGACCAATTAGACCTGGACCTTCTCTACTTTGAGCCTTACATACCAAACTATCTTGCAAAAGAAGTCTTCGAATTTCTTCGATCCAACCTACCGTTTTATAGGGTAGAGTACAAGATCAAGCGGTTTGGCACTGAGACCCAGATCCGGACTCCAAGGTAAGAAGTTCTACCCTAGTTCCACGTAACATGGCTCTGAGCACCAAACAGGTACACTACGGTATTTGGACTAGACGAGACATCGCGTTTCGAAGAGGATGGATCAATCATTGACGCGAAGACGCTTGCAAAAGTACCTGACAAAGCCTACGCACGATACGCCCCTCGTCCAATTCCCAAATGCCTCGATGATTTGCGAAATTCCGCAGAAGCAGCGACTGGCTGCAAATTCAACTTCTGCTTGGTCAACTATTACTCTTCCGGCTCAGATTCAATATCTTTCCATAGTGACGATGAGAGATTTCTCGGTCCTGAACCGGCCATCGCATCCTTCTCTCTTGGAGCAAAGCGAGATTTCTATATGAAGCACAAGCCAATCCCTCCGAATGACCAGCTCCCTCCACCCCCTGAGGTCAAGCAGCTGAAGCTGCCCCTCGCAAGTGGAGACATGATCCTGATGAGAGGCCGAACGCAGTCGCAATGGCTGCACTCGATACCAAAAAGGTCGGGGAAGAATGAGCCGGATGGTCGCATCAATATAACCTTTCGCCGAGCCATGGTGAAAGGTGGAACGGACAATTATTATAATTACAACGTCGGGACGGGCCCGGTTTTCAAATGGGATAAAGAGTCGCGGGAAATGCGTTTATGGAAGAAATGATGGGTATTGTCTATTCGTGAACATGGCTGTATCCAGTACAGTAAGTACCTCTAGAAGTAATGAAACTTATCTACCAACCCGAAATTCGGCATTCGCATATTTACACAATGCGCGGTAGAAGACGAGGTATCCAACGCTCTCATTGTCCTGAACATGGAAGACTTCAGTCAGTCGGACCTGCCAGGGCGGATAGCCGTCGAGCTCCACAGTGGGCGAGAAGAGAACGAGGAGGTCCGGCTCGTCCATAACACTCTCGGATAATTCGGCCTCGATCAGATCAATGCTGATATCCGCGGGTGAGATCTTTGATCTTTGAGCCATCTCGGTCAAGGTCTTGGTGAGGTCGACCATCGAATCCCGCCCGTCTTCTACAGAGAGTAATCTGACAAGTAGATGAGTAGGTCCATCTCCATCCTGGGCCACTGGTGCCGGTGCTTCCGTTTCTATTGATTGGACATGGGGTGCACATAACGTGAGAGTAGGTTGTTGTTCGGGGCCAAAGTATGAGGCCAGATTTTGTGAGATAGCTGTATGAGTTGCACGAAGATAGTTTTTCAAAATGCCTAAGACGAAAATGAGCAGGTGGTACTTCCAGTCGGCGTAAATTCAACTCACCTGTCTTCTCATATACGGTGAGAGCTGGTATACCGGCGCTGGCACACCAAGCCGACACTTCCGCAACTTCGTTCACGAGTCGCTCAAGTTCTGCTCCACCTCTGCCATTCTCCTCCAGCTTCAGAATTATACTGAGATGCTTTGGCAGCCGGTTTAGACCCTTGACATCCTGCTTGATGAATCCTGGAGTTCGATAGTGGTAACGGCGAATAGAGTATATACGGTCTCGGACGATGTGAAAGGTCTGGCGGATCTTGATGTATAGAGAGAAGAAGGCATGAATGATGGTGAACACCAGGAGATGCAGTTGAGTACGGATGAATCTGCGAATGCCCAGCCATGATCCTCTTTGGCGAGTCCTGGGCTCTGTGCCTGTGGTTGACCGGGATGGCGGGGATGGAAGGTATGGCTGTCTTTAGTTAGCACGGCGTTAGAATCTCTTTGAGCTGGCTACATGCCTTCAACATCTGCACCCTCTGCTCCGGGGTCAGAAGCTTGTGGCCTGACTTCTCATCTTGGCGATAGATCTTGGTGTCCCTCGCCCTGAAGGCCATCTTGGTCGTCGCGGGGTGTGATTAGGCGGGTAAGTAGGTATTATCGATTGATGCTATGACGCAGTTGAAGAAAAGAGAAAGAATGGACAGGCCAGGAGGACCATGGGTATCAAAAGTCTTAGGTGTAGAAGCACATACGCAATTGTTGGCGCAACACCTGTCCTCAAGTGAGTGCAAGGCTTGGGTATTGTGATGTGGGCAAGGAAACAGGTGAGGATTGCCTTGGAATTTGGCTTGTGAAGGAAGCTCAGAGCTTTTCTAACAGCGAATCATTGGAAGCCAGTGCCACACCGTTAGCTGGTGTTTGGCGTCAGCTTGTGGCTGAGAATACTGGGCTCGCCCCTAGACACCTCCTGTGGGGCAGCGTTCGTGGACCACTACCTACCCCCATCCATTTACGGGAGCGGCTGGAGGCATTGCGGGCAGGCGCGTCTGTCTTTGGCTGCAGATCCGACTCTCTGCGACACCATCTGTACCGATTTCTCAACGCTGCTTCGACCCCGATTGAACTCCTCGAACCCATCACAAGACGGACCATCTCTCCCATGCAGTATCTGGCTTGAAGTTCCCGTGCTTCATGGGCTTGCAGTCCCAACATCACCAATAATGGAGAGGGCGGGTTCCGGCGGCTCCAGGGCTCTCTTCCCCAAAGGTCCCAGCTTCACCTTGGAAGACTTCTCGAACAAGGACTTTATTGTGCGCGATTTTGTCGATACCCTTGCCGAGACTGCTGTGCCAGTGAATCGACGGTCCGGTCCTGCGCAACAGATATTCGACCCAAAGCCTCTGATTAGGACGTTCGAGAGTATGTTGACAACTATGGCCATACCCGTATGTCGATGAAGGGACCACTAACAAGTCTTCTACAGATGCTCTGTCCCAACTAGCCTCGTTAACCGAAGACCTCCAGGAAAAGGAGTCAGAGATTTTATCCCAAGTGCGCCGGGCGGAGATTCAGCATGACCAGACTCTCGATACGCTAGGTCGCAAGCTTGACCAGTCAATGGCTCAATTCGAGGCTCTGGATTTATCGCTGAATATCTCAAATGGAACAAATGGCTACGATAGAAGCAGCAGGTCTGACGGAGGTGGTAACCTTGCCGTACAAATTGGCGAGAAGCTAGAAGAACTCGACAGGAAACGGCGGAGAGCGCTGGACGCCAACTTCCTAATCCAGTGTTGGACTGAGGTCTCCGAAACAGGGCAATTAACATCTCTTGAGGAAATTCAAAGGCAAGGTGGTGCAGAGAACAAGGTCCGATGCGCTGTCATTGCTCGACAGCTGATGCGAATAAGCCAAAGGCTGGACCCGACGTCTTGGGGTCAAACAAATGGGTTTCGCCAAAATGGTGTCACTAACGGCGTCACCGGGACAAGCAGAAAGCATAACACCCGAGAGGTCTTGGAGAAGTTTTGCGAGATTCTGGAACAAGATCTACTCACCCAGTTCAACAACAGTTACCGGCGGCAGAACTTTGATGACATGATGGAGTGTGCCAAAGTCCTGCACGATTTCAACGGAGGCAACAGTGTTATTGCTGTCTTCGTCAATCAACATCAGTTCTTCATAGACAGAGATCAACTCATGTCTGATGAAGTAACGACCGATGGAGAAATGTGGGAGCAGCTTGCAGACCCGGATTCTGACCCCCCCGGAGTCGAGCCGAGTTTGCAGTCTCTGGTTGATGAAGTCAAGATTGTGATGCAGGAGGAATCTTTCATCATAAAACGAGCCTTCCCATTCTATGAGACTGTCTTGGTCAAGTTCATCCAGCGAGTCTTCCAGCAATCCATCCAACAGCGGCTGGAGATGGTGTTGGAGAAAGCAAACACAATCTCATCTCTGGCCTTTCTACGTTCGCTGCATGCGTCAAGGACTTATATTAGTGCGTTGATAGAAGACCTCAAGACTCATGGACTGACAGAACATCCTGAGCCATGCTCTGCACAAATCTCACAAACCCTGGACCAGCAGATGGAAGAATTATTTGTGCCATATTTGGTAGGCTCGTCCTACATTGAGAGAGAAAGAAAGAGCCTGGAGGAAATGTATAGCTCTCTGCTCTTCAAATACACCATCTATCACTCTAGACGGAAGAAGGCGCCGACTGGCTTCATGGCGGCCATTGCTCAGCAAGGTAGCCAGCTGCTAGCGTCTGCAAAAGATGCTTACATTGAGCGTCTTGACTCTTCCGAACTTACTCCAACTCAGAAGGCCATGATGCTCCGAGTTGCCGGCCTCCAGGATGCAGGAAATAAGAACGAGATCGAAGTGTCTGAGGAAGATGGACTACTAAGCGTTGCAAATGCAAAGCGAATGATGACTTGGCTTGCTGAGAGTGTTCGAAGAACGCTTGAGCTTGGTTCGGCCAGTGACACTCCAAAGGATGTCAGTGTCCTCTTGAACCTGCTCCTCACCAGCATGGGCCAAGTTTACGTGGAGACTGCCCTTGACGCTGCTCTCGATGCGGCCACATCACAGGAGAATGCTAAGGTTGAGCCTGACATAACGTATCTCCCTGCTGTGCGTCCTGCCGTGACTATTACTCATATCATGTCGCGATTCATCACAACGGTGCTCATTCGGCTTGCGGAGGGCAATACGACGGTGCGCCGCAGCATGGAGGCGCAGATCAAGATGGGGCTCGACTCGATCGAGAAGAAGACCAACAGTGTCATGAAGAGCACGGTGGACGTCGCGCTTAACTGGGTGTCAAGATCGTTGACGACCCAGAGGAAGCTTGACTTCCGGCCGAGGGACAATGAACTGGAAGGGATCGTTGACTCGTTGCAGACACCAACCTGCCTCACGATATGCACATTTCTTGGTCGTGTTGCTACATTAGCAGCTCAAGCTATTGATGGTCATAATCTTGAACTGTTCAGCAGTGAGCTAGCATTGGGGGTTCATAAGCTGCTCTTTGAGCATTTCAAGAAGTTCCAGGTCAACGCCACGGGTGGACTGATGGTTACGAAAGATGTGTCTAAATACGTATCGACCTTGAAGGAGTGGCCCCTGACCAAGGAGGTCCAGAGCATAGTAGAAGTCCTGACTGAGATCGGCTACCTCTTCATCATCGGACCAGAAGCCTTAAGAGAGAGGTCACGAAATCTAGGGTCTGGCCCTAGCGGTCCGGGCAGGAAACTACAAAAGGCAGACTTCAAGGCATTTGTACAGAGGAGAGACGACTCGAGCAGCGTTGGCATCCAGAGCGTTCTGGCTGGGCTTTGAGGATGTTTGATGGTTGATGATGAGTTATGTACGCTATCTTGGGATACAAGCACGTTGCAATGATACCAGGCAGATTTACGAGCATCTAGCAGAAAGTAGTGACTGTTATGAATTCCCCAGGTGTGAAGACATGCTTGCTGCCTTTAAGAGATGATGCGCGTATGAACGGCACTGCACTTCACTACTGCTACATATCTTATATCGGCCATCGGTGCTATACGTGCCGGTTCTCGGCTCTTTTGACCAAGGACAACCTTGCCTATCCCACGCTGCCACCACGCTGTGGCGGGGGTACCTGACGGACCCAGCCAGGGCTTCCGCTGCTTACCTGATGCGTGGGCTGCCCTGCGTGCATATGCGGCGATTTTAAGGTTGGAGGCTGGGCTGGCCCGCCTACTATACAGTAAGGTGCCCTATTAGGTGAGGGGAACCAGTCCGACCTGCCTTACCGAGAATCGAGTCAAGGTCGGTATCTAAGGACACGTTGAGCAAATCTGCTGTACCTGTGGCCGACCCAGCGAAATCGATAGAAACCCATTCCCTAAGGATCCTCATCATTCTGCCACCTAAGCGCATAAAGACAGATATACGTTGCCTCTTTTTTCCACCGAAGACTGCGCAATACATTCTTTCTATTTCTCCAATGACCTAGGTGATTTGTTTCCCCTTCTTTATAGGTATTACACACGCCTGTTTGCTGTGCGTGTTTGTCTTTCCAATCCCGGCTTCCCGGAGCCCTTGCAGGCGAGATCCCACCAAATCCTCCTGCCGTGTTCTTTTATTGGTTCCCCCAGGCCAGCACGCACTTCAGCTACAATCTGACTGAGCACTGAGCACTGGAACCTTTAATTTCGTCAACCTTGAAGCTTCAACCCCACCACCAACCGCAAGGACCTGGTGAAAGCTGTGCAGGCACCTCCGGCAAAGGCAACATGGAAAACGCATTTGCAAAGCCGACCGACAAGGTCCTCTCGACTCTTGGAGTGAGCGCTGCCGCCGGCCTCAGCGACGAGCAGGTCGTCGACTACAGGTCCAAGTACGGCAAGAATGGTATGTCTCCCCCTCCAGACAGGTCTCTACCAGGTATCTACTGGTCGCACCCGTGCTCCTCTAACATACATCTGCAGCGATCCCCGAAGAGCCTCCTACGCCTCTCTGGGAACTCATCCTGGAGCAGTTTAAGGACCAATTGGTCCTGATTCTGCTTGGATCTGCCGCAGTCTCCTTCATTCTCGCCCTCTTCGAGGAGGAGGGTGGCTGGAGCGCATTTGTTGACCCCGCCGTTGTATGTTCTCTCTGTAGTCTCCTGGATTTTTTTTCCCTGACTGTTTCTAACCTCTGTGTCCTCTTAGATTCTCACTATCTTGATTCTCAATGCCGTCGTCGGAGTCTCGCAAGAGAGCAGTGCCGAAAAAGCTATCGCCGCCCTCCAGGAATACTCCGCAAACGAGGCAAATGTCGTCCGAAATGGCGGACAGGTCTCCAGGGTAAAGGCGGAAGATCTTGTGCCAGGCGATATTGTATCCGTCGCTGTTGGTGATCGTATTCCCGCAGACTGCCGTCTCATCTCCATCGAGAGCAACAGTTTTGCCGTTGACCAGGCTATTTTGACTGGTGAAAGCGAGAGCGTGGGCAAGGACGGCAGTGCTGTGGTCGACGACGACAAGGCTGTGCTCCAGGACCAGATCAACATGTTGTTCTCCGGCACTACCGTTGTGACAGGTCGCGCCAAAGCTGTGGTTGCCCTGACCGGCTCATCTACTGCCATTGGTGATATCCATGAGAGTATCACTGCTCAGATCTCGGAGCCTACTCCCCTGAAGCAGAAGTTGAACGATTTCGGCGACACTCTTGCCAAGGTCATCACTGTCATTTGCATTCTCGTTTGGTTGATCAACATTCCGAACTTTAATGATCCTTCTCACGGAAACTGGACCAAGGGCGCCATCTACTACCTCAAGATCGCCGTCTCTCTGGGCGTTGCCGCGATTCCAGAGGGTCTCGCTGTGGTTATCACGACATGTTTGGCGCTCGGCACCCGCAAGATGGCCGCTAAGAACGCCGTCGTTCGCAGTCTGCCTTCCGTTGAGACTCTAGGAAGCTGCAGCGTGATCTGCTCTGACAAGACTGGCACCTTGACAACGAATCAGATGAGCGTCAACAAAGTTGTGTACATCAATGAAGATGGCTCTGATTTGGAGGAACTTGACGTCCAAGGAACTACTTTCGAGCCCAAGGGCGACATCACCTACAAGGGTAAAGTTGCCATTGATCTGGCCCAGAAATTCAGCACCATCTGCCAAATGACTGAGGTTGCTTCGCTTTGCAATGACGCTCGCCTTGCCTATGATTCCCGGTCCGGTACCTTTTCAAGCGTTGGCGAGCCTACTGAAGGCGCACTTCGAGTCCTCGTTGAGAAGATTGGGCCCTGCGCACCCAAGGAGGCTCATCCTGAGGACCGTGTTCACTACGCCAGTGCCTGGTACGAGAAAAAATTCACCAGGCTCGCAACCTATGAGTTCTCCCGCGACCGCAAGAGCATGTCAGTCCTTGTTAAGAACGGCAAAAATAAGAAATTGCTGGTTAAGGGCGCCCCTGAGTCCATCATCGAACGCTGCAGCCACGCCCTCGTCGGAGCGGACGGCAAGAAGAAGCCTCTGGATGCCAAGTTGTCTGCTCTTATCCACCGTGAAGTCACAGACTACGGTAACCGTGGTCTGCGTGTTATTGCGCTGGCCAGTGTCGAGGATGTCGGCTCCAACCCCCTTCTACAGAACGCCAAGTCTACCGCTGAATATGCCAAACTCGAGCAGAACATGACTCTCTTGGGTCTGGTCGGCATGCTTGACCCCCCGAGACCGGAGGTTGCTGCATCCATCGAGAAGTGCAAGGACGCTGGTATCCGTGTTATCGTCATCACTGGAGACAACCGCAACACCGCAGAGAGCATTTGCCGCCAAATTGGCGTCTTCGGCGAGTATGAGGATCTTACAGGCAAGAGCTATACGGGCAGAGAATTCGACAATCTTACTCCTAGTGAACAGCTTGAGGCAGCAAAGAAGGCCTCTCTGTTCTCTCGCGTCGAGCCAAGCCACAAGTCTAAACTGGTTGACCTCCTCCAGTCCCTTGGTGAGGTTGTCGCCATGACAGGAGACGGAGTCAACGATGCACCTGCTTTGAAGAAGGCAGACATTGGCGTTGCTATGGGCTCTGGTACCGATGTCTCAAAGCTCGCTGCTGACATGGTGTTGGCCGATGACAACTTTGCCACTATTGAAGTCGCTATCGAGGAAGGCCGATCCATCTACAACAACACCCAGCAGTTCATTCGTTACCTCATCTCTTCCAACATTGGTGAGGTCGTCTCGATCTTCCTGACAGCCGCACTTGGCATGCCTGAGGCTCTCATCCCTGTCCAACTTCTCTGGGTTAATCTTGTTACTGATGGTTTACCGGCTACTGCCCTGTCTTTCAACCCGCCTGATCATGATATCATGAGAAGGCAGCCCAGAAAGCGCGACGAAGCTCTCATTGGAGGATGGCTCTTCTTCCGATATCTGATCATTGGCACCTATGTTGGTTTGGCCACTGTGGCCGGATATGCCTGGTGGTTCATGTACAATCCCGAGGGACCTCAGATTACTTTCTGGCAGCTCTGCCACTTCCACCGTTGCTCGTCCGATTTCTCCGAGATTGGGTGCCAAATGTTCGGTAACGACATGGCCAAGTCAGCGTCCACCGTTTCACTCTCTATACTCGTCGTTATTGAGATGTTCAATGCCATGAACGCTCTTTCGTCGAGCGAGTCACTCCTGACCCTCCCTCTTTGGGACAACATGATGCTCGTCTATGCCATCGGCCTGTCAATGGCATTGCATTTCGCACTGCTCTACACTCCGTTCTTGCAGACTCTGTTCTCGATTCTGCCCCTGAACTGGATCGAGTGGAAGGCGGTGCTTATCATCAGTGCCCCTGTCATGTAAGTTATAGCCCCAACGCTGACCGTATGACACCTACTAACACCTTGATAGTCTGATTGACGAGGTACTGAAGTTCGTCGAGAGACAGTTCTTCGTACAGAACAGCACCAAGGAGGCTACGGATGTTGCTAAGAAGGGGCAATAGACCAAGACAAGAGCTTCGAGCTCTCCTTATAGAACATAGACCAACGTCTACCAAAGAACCTAGCTAGAATATTGCGTTTTTGACAGCATTGTAAATACGGCATAGGCATATTGCAGAATATAGCATCGTCTTTTGATCTCTTAATTGCGAATTGGTATTAAACCAGAGTCCTCGTAAGTAGTTATTGGTACATTGAGATAATCCCGCCATTTTGGCCTTCAAGGGCATTGCGTGACGATGATATTCTATCCCTCCATCTAGGATGTGTCGCCTCACTTCTACCCTCTAATCTTGTCGTCCCTTCAGTAATCTCTTCGTCACCTTGTCCTTCTCGATGATGTAAACATGCGCGCCCCAACCAGACAACGCATCTCGATCCACGGCATTCAACAGCGATTGAGAAATTGTCTCGAATAGCTCGTCAGGTCCCTGGATATAATTGTCAGTACATTGTAACGGAATTGTCTCGATCATTTCGATTCTCAACGTACCAGATCCGGCTCCCATAAACTCTCGCACATGCCAAACAGCTGCTCCGTCGCTGTGCCGCTGACGATGAAGTCCTTGGCGAAGTCGATGCAGCCGATCGAGTCGAAGCCGCAGATGAAGGGCTTGCCGGTCTTGGGCTCGAGGCCGGCGACGACGGGCGAGACGAAGTAGGGGCCGAAGCGCTTCTCGTACAGGCTGCTGGAGACGAGGTTGGCGAAGGTGGTGGGGGCGATGTTGCGCTCCTCGCGCAGGCGGTACATGTTGACCTTGTACCGGAACAGGTCCGACACCGTCGACACGTCCGTCGCCAGGCCCGTCAGGCCGAGGAACACGTCGCCGTACTGGAAGATCTTGGGGAAGTTGTTGGACACGGTCAGCGCCTGCAGGCCGAGGCGCAGGTCGCACGCGATCGCTACGCAGTCCTTGCCCACCATTGCGACACAGGCGCCGCCATCTAGAGGTCTGTTAGAGGGGACGTCGGAAGTGGGATAGGTGTGAGGATCGGGGACGAACTTATTGAGAAGGGGGACGACTAGACAACCGTCAGCTAGGTTTCGACGATGCATTCAATGGAGGAGCTACATACCATTCTGTCGACCTAGTGCAGGCGAAGCGGTGGATGCCTTTACCCTATGTGAGACTTGTGATGCCGTACCCTAAATCGTCTGTGATGGTCCGGTCGTGGAGTTGTCGTGGTGGTTTGATGAAGCTCGACTGCACAGTGATGGACAGCTCCCGGCGAGGCTTCCTAAGCTCCAACAGGCCAACTGCTGCAAGGCAACCTGAGCTGGCGCGGCCGGATCGGAAAAAGTGCCCTAGGACGCGCCGTGGTTCGCTGGCAGCTGGCGCTAGGAACCCCTGTCTAATGGTCTTTGGGGGGTGGGACGCTTCCCTTCTGGCGCCTTCTGAGCTCTGACCTCATGGCGAGGCTGCCTGCCTGCACTCCAGAAGCTTACCAAACATATTCCACCGACACGTTAGAGTTGCCAAAAGACAGCCACAGGACAGATATATACACAACTTTGGTCCTATCGGACAATTAGATAAGACAGTCTAATCTGCTCCTCTTTTGCTCCCCTTCTTGTCATTCCACGATTTTTTGACTGATTGCAAGTCATCGAACGCCATATATCGAGTTTCGATAGCTCTCTTTTGCCCCGCCATTATCCAACGCCCGAGGGGTCGAAGGCGATCGATCGGCTTGGAAGCTCTCACTATAGGGAGAGCGCAACGACGCTTTCAGTTTGGCAGAGTATTGAGGATCATACAGCAAGATGGCCTCTCATGTGGTTGTGATTGCCACGGATTTCCGACGTGCCAATGTTAAAGTTGGTCCGGGAAGCTACCTTATCGACGTCCTCGAGGAAGCCTGCAAGAAGCTGAACTTGACAAGCGACAAATATCTTCTAAAGTAAGTGTCTCGCGTATGAACCCTCCGCCCAAGCTTCTCTAACGTTGAGTAGACATAACAAGAAGCAAATCGACCTCACTCTCCCCTTCAGGTCAGCAGGTCTTCCCGGCGGAGCGAAGCTCGAGCTCGTCGTCAAGTCCAATACCCCGTCTGCAGTGTCCGTGGCCCTCAGGTTACCGGAAAGCGAAGCCAAGCGTGTCCCCAACGGCCGACTCTCAGACAAATTTCGAAGCGATACCACACTATGGAAAATGCTACGGCATTTCGAGAACACCTCGGCCGCGGGTGGGCAGCCCTTGAACTTCACGCAGAGGGGAGTTCCTCAGACCAGTAATGGTGTTCAAGCTGGTAGTGGGCAGCTGTATTACGAATGTCCGGCCATAGTGATCATGGGAAGAGAAATATCATCACTGCCCGATTTCCAGAAGACTCTATCACAACTTGGGGTTAATTCTGGTAGCGTGCTGATGCAGCTGGCCTTCAAGAAGACGGACAAGACACTGGACGATACCATGAAGGAGATTGAGCTGTTTTTCAAAGACGCCGACGCGGGGGTGGTGAAGAAAGAAGAGCCACAGACTGTGCCAGCTGCCTCTGAAAGTGAAGCCGCCTCATCGGTTGAGACACCAGCTGGCGCGACGACAGAGTCAAATGCTGTATCTGATCCCGTAGATCCCCAGGAGGCTTCAGAGCGCTCAACTGAGCCGCCAGCACCGGAACCTATGGATGTCGACTCGCAAGTACCCGCAGACCCATTACAGCCGGTCAATGTCTACTCCGCACCAAGTGGCTCAAGTACCATCCCAATAGAAGAGCCGGACTCCGTCTACGTTCCCACGATTGCGCATGCACAACTACACCAGCAAAGACTACAGGCTAGTGGGCAGAATAAGCGCCTCCTATCAGACAGGGAGCTACAGGAGCGTGCTGCTGCTCAAGAAGCAAAGCTGGCAGCTATCAAATCGGTTGATGTTAAGGGACGGTTCCCGGATCAGACATCCGTTGAATGGCGATTCGGACCAGATGCTACCGGTGCTACTCTGCACAAAGCGGTACGACTAGTCATGGCAAATGAGACGGCCAAGATCAAGCTTGTGCTTCCCGGAGGTAAAGGCTACATTCAAGATGAAGATGGCCCTCAGCATAGGCTGATTAAGAGCTATCAGCTTGAGGGGCGGGTTCTTGTCAATGTAGTATGGGATGACAGCGTCCCGCAAGATGTAAAGAAACAGCCCTTCTTGAAAGGCAGCGTCGCTAGCGAGGCCAAAGAGTACAAGCCTCCGCCAGTGCCACAGGGAGAGGAGGAAGAGGAAGAAAAGAAGCCAGCCGCTCCAGTCAAGACTGAGAGCAAGCCCAGCGGCAGTGGAGAGAGCGGTGGAAAGAAACTACCAAAGTGGCTCAAACTTCCGGGAAAGAAATAATGGGGGAGCATGGGGTAGACGACATGAATGGATGATTCACAGCTAGCATTGCATTGGTGTACGGACTCTAGGCGTATGCGTGGCACTGAGCGTTTGTAGGAATTGTCACATCAAGACAGTAAACGGTGCATCTGCTTGTTCATGGTATCGTGCCATTCCGGTCCTTTTTTCCTATTCACATGTGTCGTTTGCGACCTGAATCGAGATCTTCGCCGGGATAGACGCCATTATGCTAATTTCAATCGCCATGAAAGTCGCCGTCCCTTTTCAACACATTTGCCTAAGGGTCTGTCCAGTACAGGACCCTTTCCCAAAAACCACAATCACATCAACTTTTCTCGTTTAGTGACCGGCCCTGCGGGACTCGGCGATGACGCGCTGGAGCTCATCGACCTTCTTCTTGGCACGGCCGAAGGTACCGAGCCTTCTCTTGGCCAGCTTGCGGGCTCTCTTGTCCTTGCTGTTGCGGAGCAACTCAATGACTCGGCGCTCGTAGGGGGCAAGACTGGAGAGAAAAGTTAGCACTGAGACCGAGTATGTCGAGTAGCGCCATGTGTTCGGCTCGATCAAGGCATTGACAGTATGCATGCCACAAGTTGCGCTTGGTGTATGACATGTCGATGCCTCCATCGTCCGGTTTTGTGACTGCTACCGGCTGGATAGTAGATCGACTTACCCAGCAACCTCCTTGACGACGTCGCGGACGAAAGCGGTGCGCTTGCTCAGGTGACCCTTGGTGCGGGAGACCTTGGGCTTGACGACACGGGGAGTGGTTTTCTATATTCCATACCAGTCAGCGTCCATCGTCTGCAGAATTGAGTGCCAAAAAAGAAGGCAACGCAGAGATCCTCCACGAGGTGAGACGGAGACAGTGTTTCAACGTACAAAGCCCTTGTTGATGCCAACGGCAAGGCCCGTACGGGCAGGAGCTTCCTTCGCCATCTCGATTGTTGGGTGATGAGAGGGGTGGTTGAGGGAAGAAAGAAGATTGTCGACGATGAGTCGTCGTAAGTGGGAGTGAACTTTTTTCGGTCGAAATTCATTTGGGGTTTGTGCGAACCCCACATAGTAGCGTTTGATTGGTTTACAGTAGTAACACGTGACCTGGTCTGGGCGGGCGCCACAAAGCCTAGGTGTGGCTTGATTCAACAGGTACCTAGGTGCCTAGTTCGAGAATGGTGTCCTGGACCAAGACTAATGTTAAACCACCAAACTACTACCTAAAGGTTTGTACAACTACTATTCCTCAGATTTCTAATACAGTTACCTGGCTATCAGTATAGGCAATTATCAATGTCAAGCGGTGGTCGCTGCCCCTACAAAAAGAGGATTGATCTCTAACTTATGTACAAGTTTCTCTGCGACTTGCTTAGGTACCTGCTAGGATATGTAGTATCAGCTCACGAGGATAGTGAACGAATATAAATATAATTCACTGAGATTCGGTAGTCTTGAGGTTGTCACGGAAGTCATGCCTATCACATATCCTGCGAGCTTCGGTTGTGCGACTCACCACCAGAATCACAGTGTTACAGAATTGGTAGTAATTGACAGCATATCGGGTAACTCTCGGCGGACACGACGTTCGACAGATATCGTTCTTCTCGCATTCGCCATATACAGGTCGTTGTTTCTTAACTGGTCCCTGCATCGCCAGACAGTAGACCTGTAAATGGATCTTCATACGCTAAGAACCAAGAAACACTCGTCTGAAGCCGCACCTGGCCCTTGCATAGGGTGGACCTGTGCGATGTCCACCCCCTATATCAAGACGTCACCCTCCCGTCGGACGGCTCATACGAACGTGCCACTGCTTTGGATGATGCACACAGCCTTTTTAGCCGCGATCTGGCTTTCCTCGAATGTCATTGAACGGAACCAGTACAGTCGCTGGCTCGAGAAACATGAAACAGGGAAGTCTTGGTAGGAGCCAATCATGGCTACAAGAGCATAGAATTAACAACTTATTGGGCATAACATTTCCACAACTTCGGAGTCCTCTCCCGTCCTTAGTGGCCGGCATCTGATTCCTTCCAAAGAGGATTCCAACACTGCAATTCCATCGGGTGCAGTCCTCTTGTTTTAGGTAAGAGTGGAGTGGGCAATTGCAGTCCTTGGCAGTGATTGTAGGCCGCGAGCGATCTGCACCTTCCTCCACTTTCCCCTATGCCGGTCAACGGGATCTGCAAGGTACCAAAGCCCAAGGGAGTTTCCGTCCGTTTGTGTTAAATCTCAAAGGTCCGCATCCAGGAATCGAGATCTGAGATTGCGTTCCTTCTTACCTCTTTCACTCGTTTTCTTAATACCACTACATTGAAGTGGGGATAATTCTAATATCACCTCGACTCTCGTTTTGTTGTCATTCGCTTCACATCCAACACGTCGCAAGCATGAAGTTTCTCGTCGTTCTCGTCTCCCTGGCCCCGTTGGCGTCATCACTGCCAACTTACGCCCTCCCCAAGACTTTCGTAGCTGCCGAGGGCTGCGAACTTCCTGAAGGATATGTCCTATCGAAGTTTACGACGTGGACGCCTGTCGGTAGCAATGACACCTCCATCAGCTTCAACTACTTCGATGAGAGCACAAACATCACAACGTCTTGCTACAAGAACTCGTCGTCGCAGGCGATCACATCCCCAGGTTATGCCGCCAGATATCCTTGCGAGAACTCAATCGTCAAGTTCATTTGGAGCAACAGCAAGCTAGGACTTATCGAGGAAGCTTGCCCGGAGGATAGGTATGTCATGTTGACTATCCCTTCGTTCGTACAAGATGTTCTGACAATTTAATAGCAGCACAAGTTATGAGGCATCTGGATCAGTTGTCCCGAGCTTGCAGTGCGCTTCGAAGAATTGCACTGTTACTGGCGAGACTGGCTTACAATGCACCAGTGCAAACCAGACTATCACAGCTCAGTTCACGAGCCTGCAACCGGCACCCCCCAGCTGAGTTGAGACAAACCAAGCGCTAGAGGATGGGTTACAAGAATCAGCATCACAGGAAGTGTTCTCGATGTTGATAAATATGAAGGCGATACAATACGCCGCCGAGTCAGCCGTGTTCAGAGGTCATGATCACAATAATCATGAATGAACGTAGGTAGCAGTTGCAAATTCACAGCCAAACAAGCTCTACGCGATAGAACAAAAAGAGAAACTCCGCAAGGCAATCCAAGGTTCTAGATCAATCAATGAAATTCGCCAAGTTTCGCAATTCGTCGTAGTGTCATGTCATGTTCCTTAAGATCAAGATGGTGGCTGGAAATCGCGGGGAGCTGCAGCTGTGGCTTTAGAACCCCTGCATAGCGGACGGCAATTGCCCACTGGCTACCTAGGTATGAAGGCTGAAGCACCCAGCTGGATCGACGATTGTTAGCGCTTTTCCATTGCATCATGTGGTCATGAGGAGTCAACCAACCTACAACACCTGTGTATGATGGGTGATTACCCTTACCTATAAGAGTCTCCCCAGGCTTGAACATCTATCAATCGTATCATACCTCTTTCTGCCGTTTTGGTGGCTTCTATCAGCGACCCAATATGTGGCGCGTGCCTCCGAGAGCTTGACACCGGTGTCTATACCTTCGACGTCTACAGCTCCATAATCGACTACCCCGAATATGCGTCCCACCTGGAACCTTGTGTCTGGTCTCCTGCTGCTACAAAGCAGCTTGGGTACCGGGCTCAATGGCCTCGGTGACTTGTACCAGCACGCCCTGCAAAGCGACGGCGGCGGGGCTCCTCCATCGCCACAGAGTGTATCAGTCCCCTTCTTCGCCGACCTTGAACGCCTCGCCCGACTGGTCGACATCACATACTGCGTTGGTACAACGGGTATCTCGCCGCCGTTCTCGTGCGCCTCGCGCTGCAAGGAGTTTCCCTCGCTGCAACTGGCTTCCACCTGGAATACGGGAGTGTTGATGAGCGACAGCTGCGGCTACATTGCGGTGGACCACGGCGAGGGGCGAATCAACGATGGTGGGCAAGGGGGTGCCATCATCGTAGCGTTTCGCGGGACATACAGCATTACGAATACGGTTGTCGACCTCAGCACCGTCCCGCAGGAATATGTGCCGTATCCGGAGCCAGATGACGACGACGAGGATAAGGACAAGGACGGACAAGGTGCCAGCGTGTTGGGGGCTGATGAGTACAAGCACAAATGCGACAACTGTACCGTTCATATGGGCTTCCTGGCCTCGTGGCGCCAGGCCCGCAAGCTGGTTCTGCCTGTGCTGAAGAGCGTGCGCGAGAAGCATCCCAACTACCCCATTTACCTCGTCGGTCACAGCTTGGGCGGGGCAGTGGCTGCTCTGGCATCCCTCGAGCTCAAAGTCTCTCTGGGATGGGATGACTTGATCGTGACGACGTTCGGCGAGCCTCGGACGGGCAACAAGGGCTTCGTCCGTTATTTGGACAAGATATTTGATCTGGAGAATGACGATGGCTACGATGTCGATTTGGAGAAGCGTACATACAGGCGTGTCACACACGTTGATGACCCCGTTCCGCTGCTCCCCCTGACGGAGTGGGGATACAGAAGTCACGCAGGCGAAGTCTACATCAACAAGCCGAGTCTCTCGCCCGCTCCAGAAGATTTGCGAATGTGCAGGGGCGATAATGACGAAAAGTGTATGGCAGGTGCTGAGAGCACTACGGACTATGGTGGACTTCTTCGGAAGATCTTACGAATGGAAGATGCTACTTCGGAAGCTGATGATTCTACGGGACAGGCTGCAGGGTTTCCAACACATCTGAAGCCATGGGAGCTATTCTTTGCACATCGCGATTACTTCTGGCGTTTGGGACTTTGCCTTCCTGGCGGTGACCCTGCCGATTGGGGCCGGGATCGCTATAATTTGACGATACCTCCTTCTGACGAACTTTGAAAAGCGAGGCTATTGACCGAGTCTGCTTTCCTCTGTTTACTTTTCTCTGAATGTCGTTGAGCAAGGCGTTTGGTGTGGAAATGTCAGGACCAGTCAGCTTGGTGGTCTGTAATAACATGGAAAAAAAATGCCCTCTAGTCTTTGATAGCACCGCAATAACTTATAATTCTGTCCCATACTTGAGTCCATACCTTTATGATATAGTATTTCGATAAACTTCAACTTTCATCTCTGTCTAAGCTCGGAAAGACAGCTTCACAAAGGCACTGCAAGGCGAAACACGATCGATCCAATCAGCAATTACGAGACGAGAACCTACAAGGATCCCGTGATTCCATTTTCGTCTTCACTGCCATTTTAGCACTGATCAAGGCCAGAGATATGCCTTGATATCAAGCATCGTCGGTCCCAAAGCTACTGTTGCCGCAAGGCCCATTTTGGTCAACCGAATCAGCATCTACGCCTCCGCCAGCGTAAGAATGTTGGTTCCTCGAGGGTGAAGGCATTGCATTTTAAAAGTTGGGATACTCATCGAGGTCGAGTTGAAGATTCTGTTCATCATGTTAGGCCCTACCTTGCGGAACTAACAATTCCATGGATGGCATTGGTGGAGGAGTATGAGAAACTTACAGGAACCCGACGTCTCAGAGGGGTTCACTGCAATTTTAGCATTGGTCACGGCCATATGTTGAGAGTGGTAGGAACAGAAGGCATCTTGGTGACTGGCTCATTCTGGTCACTTACGTAGGGGGCGTGGCGCCTTGTCAAAGCCACAACTGTACGCGGCTACTTGCTATTCTCAGGATCAAAGAGATGCGGACGCCGCTGATAAGGGGTTACGCTGTATCTCCCGCTAGACCCCGATAAGAGCCATCATGCGGATGTGATCCAGGCCATTGACCATATCTGTGGAAGGGGACAAGGACTCATCACGCATGTGCGCATTGCTGACTGGAGTGCGCTGGACAGAGTCCTCGTGACTGGGTTAAATGAGTGCCAGCACAGCCCGAATCGGCGCGCCGCGGGGGTGCCACGCGATAAGGGCGAAAGACCCTGGGAATCAAAAGGGTAGGATAGGGTAGGGTGGTGTAGGGTCAGGTTTCTTGCATGCCGGGAGACGGATGGGAGGGAGGGGCCTTCATTCTGAGTCAAGAGTCCCCGTCTCCTGCAGCATGTGTGAAGACGTGAAGTACCGTGCTGTACTGCAACCATGTGCCTGTGAGATACCGTACCGCTGAGAGGCCAGGTAGGTGGACAGAGTGCTGATGTTGTAGCAGATCGGTACATTGGTGAAACAAACAGGTTTTCCTGGTGGGAGTGGCATAAAGGAGGCAATAATAGGTGGCTTTCGGGTAATGGCAGCAGGACGGGAGAGGCATGACGGCGTCTCGCTGCCGTTCCGTCTGCCTGTTGATGCCATCGACCGCTTGCATCCTTCTCCTGCATGGCATCGGCTTCAGCAGAGGGAAGCCAAGTCATGACCCCGGCAATTAGCAGAGAGTGGTCTGGCCAGGCGATGCTTTGCGATGCTCTGCCTTGCTTTGCCTTGCCTTAGGTGCCAGCTGGCTGACATGTGAGGCAAGACGTTCAGCGATGGTGCCCAAGTAAGGCGACCCTGGGCGCTTGGAAGCCATACGATTCAGGGACCGACAGCAACACCATATCTATAGTAAACGTTCTTATCTTGAGGACAGCGCCCAAAGCATCTATTCTGTGTTGAGGCCGCGTAACGTTAGTCCCTTCAGACCGTTGGATGACAGTCTTGCTGTGGGGCAGACCATGGGACTAAAGAACCCTTATTAGACTTCTGGACACCTCTGAGCCAACGAAGCTAATAAGTAGTAAGTAGGGACACCGAGTTGGTCCCGAGAAGATGAGATACCGGTACTTCTGCAAATCTTAGAGGTGAGATGGCCAGGGCAGGAGGGGTAGGTCAAGTAGATGGACACAAAGGAACATGATTGGGGGGTTGAACACCTGGTCTAGCGCCTTTCAGGTTGAGTTGAGCTGGAGGAGGGAGCATCTGGTCAACAAAGGGGATCACGAGGCATGGCCAGGAGCTACAGTATCTAACTAAAGACCGGATGTGCCTAGAGATGAAGGGATGCAGGTGGGCAAGAAGTCGTAGAGAAAGCACGTTGTCGTCCTCCTTACGACAATAGTAGCCCTAGCTTCGCCTCATATAGAGGAATAGAAAGGCATGCAAGAGTGGGAATCCTGAATGAAGGACTAGGTACCGGTAGGTGATCATCACCTTGCAACAGAGAGATCAAAGGCCGTGAAGGATGGAAAGGATCTCATATCAAAGGGGCAGACAGAGCAACAAGGGAAAATAATATACCTGTGATTGTATGAGCCTCAAGCTGGTATTTGAGGTACCGGGCATTAATTTGCTGGCCTGGCCTAGGGTACCTATGTGCTGCCTTCATCACCGATCACCGGGTGCCTTGCCGGCCTAGCTGCCTTAGGGTGTGTTTCTCTGGGTCGCCCCCCTCTACCCTCTAACAAGGCTTTCGCTTGGTTTCTAAAGGCCCCCAAAAATCCCGAGTGTCCCACCTGAACCAGAGCCCAAGCACCCTAAAAAAGCACAGGCCAACACCCAAGCAATTGCCCATAGCACTGCAAAGCAAAGCAGAGCAGAGCAGAGCAAAAGCAGCCCTGCCCAGGTGCCTGCCGTCACAGGTCGCTAACTTGTGTTCCCGACTCGCCTTTCCCTCCACCACCTCACCACACCACACCAAACCAAACCAAACTAAACCCACCGTCTCGTCTCCATCGACCTTTTGCCAACTCACAAATCACGACATCAACATAAACAAATCCCTTCTCTTGTCCAACACAAATCTCTCCCTTCCTCCTTCGTTTCTTCATCGCATTCCCGAGTACTTCCACACTCACCACACACCCTCACAAACAAACCTGAAAAGATGGCAAACGAGGTAAGTGCTCTTTGTGCCTCTGATCCTGTCCCCGTGATGCTGTCTGCATCTGCCACGAGCGCTGGCTGCCCGGCGGAGGAGTGGCTGTCCCCATCACAACAAATTCAGCATCCCCAGATACCTCCATCCTTCCCTGTCCGATTTTGAGAACAAAATATGCTAACGAATGGCTTTTCCATGTAGCGCGAGAGGTGTGTTCAGAATCCGTTGACCTTCCCCGCCTGCCGCAAAACTGACACGCAGGTGATAGCAAGACTTTCCTCGCCCGTCTGTGCGAGCAGGCTGAGCGCTACGATGAGATGGTCACCTACATGAAGGAGGTCGCCAAGCTCGGTGGCGAGCTCACTGTCGACGAGCGCAACCTGCTCAGCGTTGCCTACAAGAACGTCGTCGGAACGCGCCGTGCCTCCTGGCGAATCATCTCCTCCATCGAGCAGAAGGAGGAGTCCAAGGGTTCCGATAAGCACGTCTCTACCATCAAGGACTACCGCAACAAGATCGAGACCGAGCTCGAGAAGGTCTGCCAGGATGTCCTCGACGTCCTCGACGAGGCCCTCATCCCGAATGCCGCCTCCGGCGAGTCCAAGGTCTTCTACCACAAGATGTAAGCTCCCTTACGCGGCACCTCCATGTCGATCCCTATCCACACCCAATCTCGTCTAGTCCGCGGCATCTAACCATCTCCCCGTCTATAGGAAGGGTGACTACCACCGCTACCTCGCCGAGTTCGCCTCGGGAGAGAAGCGTAAGGTTGCTGCTACCGCTGCCCATGAGGCCTACAAGGTAAATTCCCGAGATCGTCCCGTGAGACACATTTGACATGTCGGTTTTGACTAACACGAATCTCTCCCCCAGAGCGCCACCGATGTCGCTCAGACTGAGCTCACCCCGACTCACCCCATCCGTCTCGGACTGGCCCTTAACTTCTCCGTCTTCTATTACGAGATCCTGAATTCTCCCGACCGTGCTTGCCACCTCGCCAAGCAGGCGTTTGATGATGCCATTGCCGAGCTCGACTCACTGTCTGAGGAGTCCTACCGTGACAGCACGCTTATCATGCAGTTGCTGCGTGACAACCTCACCCTCTGGACCTCGTCCGACAGCGGTGAGGCCGAGGCCGCCGGCGCGGCTGACGCCCCGAAGGAGGACAAGCCTGCAGAGGAGAAGACCGAGGCCGCGGCTCCCGAGCCCACGCCCGAGTCTTAGATGACCGAACTGGAACCTTCAATTCAGTATCGTTCATCCCCTGACATGGGATGGTCGTCGGCTCATTCTCGCAGCTGACCTCGTGTGCTTTTCGATACTTGCTGGAGAGCTGGACTTTTACGCCTGTGTACAAGGACTGGCTGGTAAAGTTTGATACGCGGCATTGGTCACGGAGGGGACACCTGGGAGTCGGTTTGAGGAGGGATTGAAAATGCAAGGGCTTGGCCGCCTTCTCGTTCTGTTGTTCACCCGTTCTTGATGGTGAGGGGTCTCCAAAAGATTTCCTCTTCCCCATCTGAGTTTGGGGCAATACAACCCGGAGCCCACCATAGCCCCTCGTATCTTTTCCCTCAGGAACTTACTACCCTGAATTTTTCCATGGATCATGTTATCTCTTTTCCTTTTCTACTTGTCTTGTTGCGTTATCTTGCGCGCTCTCAGATGTTTATTCTGACGGAATTCCCCCCGCTGTTCATCAGTCTACACAAACAAATGTAACCCCAAAAATCCAAAATCCTTGGCATCAAACCAAGCTTACCTATCACATTCTTCCGAAACACTCCCAATGATGATAGGAAATCTGAATGATGCATCAGCTGAGAACTGCTGACCTTTAATGGCCTCTTTTCCCCTTCGTCCTTGAGGTTGCTGGCGGAGGGTCAGGGAAGATCATGCGTTTTCTCTTCATCTAGATTTGAGAGGTGTAGGATGATGGGCTGGAAACGGTCTCATTTTTGATGTGCGTGTGTGTAGATTGCTTGTCTCCTGATGAGACGCCCTACGAAAAACAAATAAACCATACCCAACCAGGACTACTGCTGCGGCCCGATTGCCACTGCGTATGCCTATGTGTCTGTTTGACAGTATTATTACTTTATCAAAGGATTATGCCTGTGTCTACAGCATTGTATCCTGTGTTGTGTTGTGTTGCTGCTTGGACCAAAATACCAGTACCACCATACTCCTAATATCAAGAGGGACCAAAAACTCCTGCCGTTTGCCTTTTGCCTGTCTTGACCGGCGTAGCCCGTAACATATATCTTGAAATCTCTACTCCTCACAAGTCTTCTCTGTTTAGAACCAGTTCAAGAAACCGACTCTTCTGCATGCTAGGACGCCCTGGAGTTCCAACGACAGTCCAAGAATCAGAAGAGCCTGCGTCAGTAGACAACGAGTCCTACCTCCCTGGCCCCTGACCGTGCTGGGCGTCTGCTCCACCTTTGCCTCCGCCGGACTGGCCGCGGTGATGATGGTTGCTGCTGTTGTTATGCTTCGCCAACAGCTTCTGCGCCCGTCGTAGCCTCGCCTCCTTGCTCATCAGCCCGCCCGCCTCACTAGAGCCCTCGTCGTCCGAGTCCTCGCCCGCGGCGTTGGCCATCTCCTGCTGCGTCGCGTACATTCTCGTCCCGTCCGTCACCGACGGCTGAGAGTCGGCTGTGGCCGTGGGCGGCGTGCTGTTCTTTGCCGACTTGTGGCCGGACCCGAGTCTGCGCAGGACCTTCCGCACGCTGCCTAGGCCG